TTTTTTTTGTGTATGTGGGTGTGGAATTGTACTATTTATAGTGACAAGTGATTGTGTTATGTTAGCTTGTGTTAGATATTTGTATAGTAGCTAACAAGTGTGATGTGTTAAGTATTATTGTGGTAGGTATTGTAATCGTGCCTTAGTAGTGTGGTAGATATCTATACTTATATAAAAAACCATTCTATTTACTAGAATTAGTAGTAAGAAAAGTCAAAGGTAATTAATGCATTCTATTTCCATCAAGTATTTTATTTAATTATTTTAGTTAATTGTTTTATCTCATAACAACTTTTCAATACAACTTACCATGATTTTTCTATTGTGATTAAAAACCAAATTTTACGTTTAATATCTTGTGAAATTATTATTATTATTTTTATAAAACACATATTATTTGTTAAAATATATATATATATATATATATATATATATAATACACATCACAGTACTATAGTAGATGATTTAAATTTCAACCGACTAAAATGTCAATGATTTAACTTTGAACACACCTCTGCATTTGACCAAATGTCTGGATGATTTAAAATGAAGCCCTTTAAAAATTATTTAAATTTGAACACACCAGAAATTTTATGTACTTTTTATTTATAAAAATATTGAAAGTGGTATTTAATGGTTGTTATATAAACTATTTTAATATATTTGCAATGAATAAAAGTTTGAATGAATAATTTGTAATGTTATTCATAATGTTTGTGACTTATGAGACACGTACACATAACTCCATACATATTTGTCAGATGGCGGCTTAATAATTTTTTAGACTTAACGTTGATTAAAAGAGGTAGAAAATAGATAATAACATTATTACTTTTTAGACTTAAACGGAGAAGACTGTGAAAATAACTTATTTAATATATTTGTCTCGTGCATCGCACGAGGTACGTACTAGTTAATGTGGTAGGTTGCAAGTGTATAGTGTGTAATGAATTAAATGTGTGGCTGGTGAACCAATAATTTAAGTATTGTACTGCCCACAAATATATATGTTATTTATGATAAAATAAATAAGAAATTATTTTAGTACTCAAAAATACTTGAATTAGTTGTATGGAAAAATATCAGAGTTAGATGTGTTACCGAATAAAATAAGTGAAAACGAGTATTTTTTTGAAGTAGCACGAACGCCATCATACATTATTTGAATAAGATAAAATTAAAAATATATTATTTCTTTAAAATAATTTAGAATTATTTTAGTGTTCGAAAAAAGTTTGAATTTAATTATATGGTATAAGAACGAGTTAGATGTATTGTCGAAAAAAACATGTAAAAATCACTTTTTTCGATGAAGAACGAACGACAACAAACATTTATCGAACAAGATAGAAGTAAAAGTAAGTTTACTCTATTAAAATAAAGTTGGAGTTATTTTAGTATAAAAACGAGTTACATGTGTTGTCGAAAAAAAAAGTGAAAACGAGCTTTATTCGAAGTAGAACAAATGTCAGTAAACATTCAACAAACAAGATAAAAGTAAAATATATTATTTTCATTAAAATAAAACTAAAATTATTTTAGTATCTGAAAAAAAAAATAATTGTATGATTATATGATATAAGAATGAGTTAGATGTTTTGTCAAAAAAAAAAGGTGAAAACGAGCTTTTCTCGAAGTAGAATGAAAAACATTGCTCGCAACCATATAAAATTTAACGTAATCCATAATGATTACTTGATTAGATAGACAATGCATAACAAGCAAAATTATAGCACATTAAACACTCCAAACAACATAAAAAATCATTGGAGACTCCCTTCTTCTTTAAGCACTGCAAGAAGCCCTTGGTGGGCTTGCAAATATTCTTTCGTCGTGGTTGAAGTACCCTCCTTTATTAATTTTATGTACGTGTTCCATGACTCTATACGAATTAGCTTTTCGAAATTATTTTGCTTCTTCAAATGCATTTTTTTAACCTAGTCAATTACAACCAACAAAGTTCACATTTGACTTGGTGCTCCCTCCTGCAATTATTTTTCCCTTTCTCTTCCGTGTTTTTTTTTTTGCTCTTTGGTCCATTGGTCGACACACATATATGTCTCCACCATCGTCACTAGGCTCAACATCTTGCCCAAAGCCAAAAGTGTGATCTCCAGTATTAGATATTCTTGCGTTATTTTCTTACTAATATATATGAGACCCCATAAAATTTGTCATTAGTTCTAAAAACTCCCAACAATTAAGTCATTAAAAGGATCATTTCTTTTTTCCATCGCTATTCCACTCCATTAATACATTTTGCATAACAATTGCATCATTTTCTCCACTTATTTGATTAGCATGAAACTTGTTTATTGATGCATTAAAATTGAGGCAATCTTCATGCAAAACATAAAAAATAGATTTTGTTGACTCCATAATTCTCTAAATAATGTTTCGTGCTAGACCAACTTCATCATAGTACTGTAAAATTTCAAAAACCTTCAGACGTTTGTTGAGCGCAAATGACCAAATCACTTGAGATGGTACAAATAGCTTGACATAGTACAATATCATCCCCATGTGGCCACAGTATTGTTGTCGCTTTATCGTGCCTTTTAGACTCAACTTCTTTTATTTTTTTAATTGTATCAAGAAAAATGTTGTCAAGTCCTTCAACCTCTGGGGTCGTGCAAGGTCTTGGGACTTGAAGAAGCCACTAAAGAATCCTGTTGGCATAAAATTTTCTTGTTGATAAGGCATCCCAAATACATTCGGAAATGAAATATTAGGAAGACATTGCCCACATGTACTGAGATTGATTCACGTTCATTCAATTTAAAGATTGGGTAAAATAAGGTTGCTATGAAGTTTGTTATTAGTGCGGAAACTTGAAAAGGAAAATTTTGAAATTTGGATGATAGTCGCATTCTAGAAAATTGGGTAAATTGCATGTTTCGTGTAAAACTTGAATTTACGAAGACGTACTGGACATCCTCCAACGAGTTCGACATATTTGGGTTGGGTTTGTATGGATTGTTATCCATTACAACTTTAGAGAAATATAAGGCAAATGTCTATATGTTTTTTTTTTAAGGTGTAATTAATGACACCGCAACAAACAACTTATTTATGAGTGGCATTTCGTGGTGCAAACTGATATTTGAAGAAAGAGAAATAAAAAAATCTATATATATATAAAAAGCCAAGCAGCTCAAATTTTCCCACCTAAACTATTGTAACATCTCATTAATATTTTGATCAATTTGATATAGTTTGTCTCAAAGTTGTAATGAATATGATTTTCATTAAGTATGAGCTAAAATACTACTAATATTTATTGGTATATGTGAAACCAAGGAAACCATAATTACACTTCCATTTTCCCATGTACATCTAATACACACTTCAAGTAAAATAATTATACATTTTAAGAAACTTGGAGGAAAAAAGTTTACAATAAAATTTAAAAATAATAGGTAGAATACAGTTTTACGCCAAAAATACTTCCAACACACACACACACACACACACCACACACACACACACACACACACACATATATATATATATATATATATATATATATATATATGCATTAAAGAAACTTGGAGGAAAATTTTTACTCTAAAACTGCATTAATTACCTATAAATAAATTTATCAATTTCTATGTAGATTTAATAATAATGACAATTATTTAATATAAATAAATTTGTATATAATTATTCATTGAAAACTTGCACTCTAATTCACATGGTAAAATAAATATTAAAGTAAAATTGTTGTTTCCAACGTAGAAAATTCAGAACTACAAAATATAATTATTTGTCAAAAATACTTATTTTGTAAATAATTATTTAATGTGAAGTTGCATTCCTTTGTAAACAACATAACTATTTGAATATGAAAAAAAAAAACTATATTATTCATAAATCTCAATTGTTAGTTTTACTTTTTATTGTTTTAAACTTATATATTATTATTATTGAATATTTTATAATATGTGAAAATAATTTTGTATCTCTAAATAATAAGTTAATTAAAATTATCTTAAATTTTATGCAAAACAAGTTTTAGCTATGGACCTAACATTGGCGGCGACCATCTTGATTATTTTTCCAATATGATATTATAAAAACACAAAATACAACTTTAAGGAATATAATAAAAAAATAATTCGATATGTATAGACATAAACTTTTATTTTGAGATGAACATTTATTTTCATAGTTTGTATTCAACATAAAAATAATTGATTTAGTGTTCGAACATAGCATCTAATTTAGTCTCATTTATGGGTTAGAAATAT